TAATGGAGACTGAGAATCCCATTGCTAGCAATATACCCAAACAAGTCGACCTACTCGCGGTTCTCCCTGGAAACTATCATGATTAATTCCTAATGAATTCATCATGATAGGCTAACCTGGCCTGTTTTCATTCTCATCGATCACCCTCTTTCACTGGTGCTCCGCCAGCGTATCCCGTTAGCGCAGGCGGGGTTACCATACCATTTTCACCCATAAAAAAATATATATATATATATATTGAAGCTCAGCGGCTCCATTGGTACACCTGTGAGGTCGACCTCTTTGCGGTCCCTTCCCGATGGAGTAATTGATCTGATTTCATTCTCACCTATCATCCCTCATTTTCTCACCACACAAGCGTAAAATGACAGCGCTGACGAGATTGCCATTTCATTTTTATCACTTACTTAAAATGTTTTACATTAGTATGGCGCTACGCTAAATGTCTTATCGTTGATTAAAATTTGCATAGCGACCGATGGAGAGAGTTATTTTCGGAATTTCTCTAAAGGACAAGATTTAGAACGAGAAAATTCGTTCGAAAACTGTTTGGCATAGTTGTCAAAGTCCGTTACCTGAAAGAGGAGTGCGCCGGCCAATTAGTTTAATTGTTTTTTTTCTTTGTTCCTTTTTTTGCTTACAAATAGAGATTTGAAAGAAATTGACAATTAAGTGTTATATAAATTAAAATTTTTTTTTTTCACTATATATCAGTCGTTAACTATCCATAGTTGAACGCATAGTTGCCACGCTTGGCAGGCGGGTTGGCAACCGCAGTCAGAGTTTGGTGATATTTTAAAAGGGACGCCGCTGCCCATCGCTTAACCATTAAGTTCCCTAGTTGCCTTTTACGACACCCATGGGAAAAGAAGGGGCGGTCGATTCTATGCTGGGATCACATATATATTTACTTTGGATATTAGAAACTAATAGACATACTATATATTTCTTTTATAAATACATACATATCTATAATATTGTATGTATATATTGAATACAAATGTTTGTATCATTCGGATATCGAACCTGTGACCACCAAAATGTGAAGTCGTATGTGAACCGCTAGACAACCAAGGTCGTCATTAAGCATATAAATATATTATATAATCCATTGTGTGTCTTACTGGCTATTTTTATTTCAGTAGACACAGATAAAGCCGCGTGCTGCACTTTGTAAATAATAGTTTAAGTTTGTATTATAATGGCTAGAATATATAATTTATCACTAGCGGCCCGTCACGGCGTCGCACGGGTGGACACTTTTAACATTTCCCTTCACTGCTCTGCTCCTTTTGATCGTAGCGTGATGAAAAGTATACTATAACCTGCCCAGGAGTATGAAGAATAATTGTACCAAGTTTCATTAAAATCCGTCGAGTAGTTTTTGTTTCTATAACAAACATATAGACAGACAGACAAAAATTATACTGATTACATTTTTGGCATCAGTATCGATCACTAATCACCCCCTGATAGTTATTTTGGAAATATATTTCATGTACAGAATTGATCTCTCTACAGATTTATTATAAGTATAGATTATCAACATACCAGTCTTTAACCGTCCACTGCTGGATATAAGTCTCCCCCTTGGGAGGAGGGGGGTTTGCAAGTAGTTGCCGCGTTCAGTAAACGGATTGGCAACCGCAATTAGACTTTGCAGAAGTTTTTTTAATGAATGATAATGGAATGGTAACCCCGCCTGCGTTATCGGTATACACTCGTCTGGGCACCAGTGAGGTATATTAGGTAAAGATAAAAGCGCAGGTCAGTTAGCCCATCGTGACGAATACACCAGGAATTCAGCACGATGGTTTCCGGAGGGGATCATTGCTAGCAATGGGGCTGGTAGTCCCCATTACTACACACCCCCCCCCCCCTCCGGCTTTGCAGACGTTTTAAGAGGGACGGAAAATATTACTGTCATTAATAGATTTTCTATTGTCATTAATATGTAAATAAAGTATTATTATCAGGTCATTAAAGTTAATTACAGTTTGGGTAATAGATCTTTAGGAAATAGTACATTAGCTTATCAGTGGGCTAATTGATAAGGTTATTATTAATAAAAGAATGTAAAATACTTGTAAAATAACTCTAGTTCTATTCCACCCGCAAAATTGGTAAATGCAGTTTTCGGCCGAGCTATTGTCCCGTATGAATGCCAGGTAGTTGGCGTGGTTTTATGATATTTCACTTTATTTTGAACGTAAAACACCGGATAACGGGATATAAGACGAACAAAAGTGCAAATATCTGTTTTAAATTACAAAAGTAATATATCGTCATAGTCGTAGAATACTGACGGATCTTTATATGTAATCTTTGTCAGATCCGCCAGTATTCTACGGCTATGACGATATATTAATACATATATGAGTACCTATATAATTATAAAAGTAAATATATATTTATATATAAGGGTAACTGTTGAGTTTCTTGCGGTCTCTTCTCAGCAGATAATAACTTTATGAATTCTTCAGTAGATTAGAAAAAAATACGGTTTAAAAGTGCTTGTAAAGAAGTACGAGTATATTTGGATAAAGATGATTTGAATTTAATTATATACAGGCAAAGCCGCGAGATACAAATAGTGAAACAACATACAGAATTTAGTATCTTCGTTTAAAAACCGCATAAACATAAAATGAGTTGATTTTGCAATCCACTCTGTAACTTCAATTAATATCAAATACACCCATAAGCGAATAGTACGATATAGTATACCGATTAATGGAAACCGGCCACCTTTACGACCCAACTCCCATAAGAATGTCTCCCATTATGCTTGGTGCAGTTAGCGAGTTTTATTTCTGCGCGTACGCAGGCAAGAATGCGCGGGGTCAATGCACTTTATCATGGGAATGTGGGGTCGCTATTTTTGGTTAGCTGCAAATACCCCTTCGGCGGTGGTTGCAAGGCAAATATGTTCACGATAGCAATCACTAGTAGGGGTATCTAGAGACATTTTTAGGGATGTTTTCAATTTGTATATTTTTTTTATACAACTTAGAATGGCAAACAAGCTGACGGCCCACCTGATGGAAAGTGGTAACCGTCGCCTATAGACATGAGCAGTGCCATGGACATAACAGAGTATACTGTTTCACCCATGATACCCCCCATGCATTGCCATTCCTGAGGACTCAGGTGTTATTCCTCTGTACCCAGTAAATTCACGCCATATCCCACCCTTTAAACCGAAACAGCCATGCAAACATAACATAACTTTTTGTGTGTAATATTACACGCTTAGATTGTAGAGTGTCTCCAGAGAAATGCTTCGAGAAAAACGGGTCAACTATTTCATACAATTTTGTGCGATAAATAGTTATGAGTGATTCCTTTATAACTTCTATATTTATTTTGTATTTTAATTTCTGCATCTTTTTAATGAAATATATGTATCTTTTTAATAAAATGAGTGTTTACACTCATTTTATTTATTAAATAATACGTCAAGATGTATTTTATTAGTAAGTATATCGAATACTGATAAAAAAACGAGTCTGCTAATTTGACAATTAATTGACAAAAAGTTGACCCGTTTTTTAAGACTCGATGCTCTATCTATATAACTTAAGATTACATGGTATCTTCTCTACTTTTGAATAAATGTTAATACCGAGAAGGGATTGTTAATAATGGTCAGGTCGACCTCCTCGCGGTTCCCCCTAGAAACCATCGTGTTTAATTCCAAGTGAATTCATCACGATGGATTAACTGACTTGCCTTTTCATCCTCACCTATCATTCCTCACTGGTGTCCCGCCAGCGTATACCGTCAACGCAGGCGGGGTTACCATTTCACAAAAAAACCTTTCAAACCGAAACACAATTATGTAATTCGATATACCTACCTGGCTTAGGAAAATTGTCTTAATAACCAATAGATTAACTATCTAATCAGTTCTCTAGTTCGATAAAGCTCTATACTCCTAACCTTCGACGGTCATTGATAACAATATATATTTCACAATAGATAATTTTATTTAATTATGTAACATTTATAATTACACCTAGGTAATGATAGTAGGTATAACGAAAATTGCTAGTTTTAGCTCATCATCTTCATTTTTATATCCTTATCCTGTAGACATATACCTATTTACATTAAAAAAAAAAAAAGATGAAAATGGAAAAAATAAATATCACTTTAAAGGGGTTTGATGAAAAAGATTCTATCCTTTAATTATTTGGATTATTCCGGTTTGGGATAAAGTGACGCGGTAAAGTATGAAGGCAGTAGACGGAAGTAGGTATTATGTCCTTAGCTCTGTATTCTAAAAGTAGAGTATTAAAATAAAATAAAAAAAAAATTGCCGCCTCTTTACTTCAGACTAAACAAAAGTTGCAAATTATTTGCAACGAAGATATTATAAATAATACGCGACAGTCAGCTCAGTACCTAATATGTCAAAATCGCTCTGGCATTTTTGTTTCGCGCCATAAGCTGCTCGCGGTCTTAGGAATGTCGACTGACTTGCTCCGATCCGATACGATATCGGCAGCTGACAAAAAGAGGCACGTTCGAACGAACGGAGAGCCCGCGGCCGAATGCGGAGTGAATCGCAACGTTATAGGTAGGTATAATACTCAGCTAGGCTTCTTACTTCGCACACTACCTCCTCGTTTTTCCTCCCACAAGTAGGTATACCTACACTAACAAGTTCACTCACACATCCACTCGTGTAGATATCGTGTTGAATGCCGATGCTTGGTCTGCTTCCTTGAAAGACCCCGCGCGCCCGCGTCTCCGAGACCCCGCCACTGGCTGGAATCGAATTTTTCCTCTGTAAAACTACAATTTGCATGAAAACAAAAAAGTAACCAAATAACAATTAGAGATTACGGTATGCTAATCGCGACATACACGGAGTAGAAGTTGTATTTTCAGAGTATTTCGTGAATGACATAAACATAGAATATGCCGGGCGCTGCGGGGCGCGGGGTGCGCAGGGCGCGCTGCGATCCCTGGTGGCTGGTTGCGACCGGCGAGCCGGCGACCGCTCAGACAGTCGTGTCTACGGCGTCATACGAAACGCACGCGCGGCAAAACTTTGAACCGGCCGGCTGCCGAATAATGTTTCAGTGTTTGACAAACTCAATCGGAGGTCTCGGAAGAAGCGTATTTAATAATTTACACTGTATAACCGATCGCATATTCTTAGTGAGTGTTACGCAGTGTGTACGGAAAAAACTTTGTCGAAGATTCTGAAGAATCTTGTGTAAAATTGTGTAATTCGCCGGCTGCGGCCGGATTGCGTTTTGCACAAACTTTTTTGGTAAGTAATCTATTTTAATTCATTGAATAATTGTATTAGTGTAGGGTACTAAGTAGATTCGAGTAATAATGTGCGGATACCTTCATACCTAGATATTAGTAGCTAGTATGGCGGGGCGTTGCCGGTTTATACCGTACTTGGTTGGCCCTAGTGTACCTACATTTCTATGAATTGGCAACACCCAAATTATTCACTTTATCACCCAATCAGTCTGTGCGCTAACGCGAAATAAATAATTGTTAATGTATTAAATTGCTTAAGATTTTACAAGTGGATACCCTACCTACCTACGTATTCATAAATAAAGATAGAAAATTACTAAGTATCTACCCGAGTGTAAATTTGTATAAATATATGTAGATACGTACCGATGAATAGTGATGGTCTGTGTACGATTTACATATTTCCATATGTTACACAATATTTTTTTTCCTCGATCAAAAATAATATTTTTTTTTTTATAGAGAAATATTAAATTACAAAATTGAGGTGGAAACTAATGTAATATTACCTATCATTAAACTGAGTACCTATTTTCATTAGAATAATAAATTTATAAGTGTATAATTTTTTTTATTATTATTATTTTTATATTAAAAAATATACCTCAGTATATGTAGGTAATAAATACTTATAGGTTTTATTTTGTTGTGCAATAAGAAATAAATCTATACCTAGGTTGAACAATAAATTGATTAGGGTAGGTCGGGCGATATGCGCTAACTTTTGTCTTAATTGCATTATTTTTTTTAACTGCAAAATATTATAAAAAAAAGACACTTATTTTTTTTTTAAGATATAAACAAATTTATACATAGAATTTAGGAAACTTTTAAAATAAAAATTTTGCAACATAGTCCACTTTAAGAAATAAAAATATATATAAATTAGTTATATATATTGGTATCTACTTCGCCTGACGATATTTAAGCAAAAACTATTTTTATTACTTAATTATACCTATATAGATATTTTATTAATTACATAGAAAATTTCTATTTTAATGTACAATAAGTAATTAAAGTACTATTATTGGCAATATAATTTTAGATAGCATTTAAAACTTGTTTGGACCGTAACTATACCTATATGTTCTAAATATGTCTTGCCCATATTAATTTTGTAATGTTGAATAAAAATCAATTATAATAACTAGTATATAACCTATCTATTATCAGTGTGATTCATTTAAAATGCATTGCTGTATTTACTAAGTACGTGCTTAAATATTTAAATGCGTTCCTAATTAATGTATTCATAATAATTATGTTTGACAGCGTCAATTCCTCTGAATCGACTAAATAGCGGGAAAATAACTCGTACCATTGCTTTATTAGTAAACAATCATTTCGCGCCATTCTGCGCTCGTAAACAAAAACAGTTTGTGCAGAATTCCTACCTGGGCCAGTGAGATCGCAAAAAAATTCGCCGAAGTAGGGATGTACTCCCGCATTCAGGTAAAATATGTCGACAAAAAAAATGCGGGGCTAGTTGACAGGACAATGACTAATTGTTGTTAGACAAAAATGGGATAGGGCCCAAGGCCAACGCACTCTTTAAAACTGTTCGATATCCCATCCAGACTTCAGTCTAGTTTCGGGCTTCGTGGTAGACACTTCCTAGTTCACTGTTAGTTAGTGATCTACTGTTGTCGTTTGTTTGTAAATACACAAGGGGTCAACACCCTTTGTTGGAAAACTTTTAAATCTTTATTTGTTTTAATTAAATAGCAATCTGTTATTGAGTGACTTACATTTTAAATAGTGTTTGGACATAGTGAATTTTAAAATACTGCGACTTTGTTGTGATTTTAACTTAGATTTTTTAAATTAAGTTAAGCAAAGGTACGACTATTTATCTGAACATAGTAAATTTATTTATACTTTAAATTAGTAGTGCTTTTAAATTTAGCTGCTGAAATTAAATTACACATTTTTTTTTTTCTTAGTTTGACAGATTTAGTCGAACTAGGTGTCTCGTCCTCTCTCATTGATACGGGTTACGGAATCGCACAAACTTAGTTGATCCACTCGAAATAAATTATTATATTATAATTTAATATAATGAAATTATGGTTACTTTAATTTATTAATAAATAATATTGCCACTTCTGACTTCTTTTTAACCTTTTACGTTACATGAAGTTTTGAATTTTATATTTCTATTGTTTCAGACGGTGTGCGTATAAACCACCGCGCGCATCGTCCCTGTGATAAGAGGGTCCTGTGATATCGACAAGTTCGTTTTAGCTTTAAAACTAGTTAGTATTTAGTTATACATAAAAAAAAATGGCGGTGCCAATGGACACTCCAATTCTCCACTTCGATGTGTGGGATACACTGGACGAGATGACTTTGGAGATGACACAAACTTCCGAGTTTTGGGCTCAAGTACAGTACGAGGCTGAAAGATTGGATGTGCCGCCTGTCAATTATCCAGAGATGCAAACAGAATATGAATTGGACTGGCGAATAAATGAAATCCCAGAAGACACGCACAAAGACAGTATCCTTAATTACGACATCATGTGGGCAGGCTATGATTCAAGTAATCCTGGCAACACATTTGTGCCAACTGATCAAAGTACTGCCGCACCTGGCCAGAGTTTACTGCGGCGACGGGAAATTTCACCGCCAAGACCTGAGACTCCATCATCATTGGACGGCGATGAGCCACCACAGTTCCTTCATTCAGTGGACGTCGCTGGAACAGCGCGTAGGTTGTTGCGAGACTCTGCTGTAGTTGCTGCTGATCATTCGTATACAGCGTCCAGACAAAACTTCGACAACCTGGGAGTCCAGACACCATCTGACTCGTGTGAATCAGGTATATATTTTTACCCTTAACTTTGCTTCCCTCATAACATTTTTAAAATTTCTATTTTAGAGCTGCAATTATCATGCTTTTAGTTTACTACAATCAGTTTTTTTTTTAAATCAATAATATACTAATTGGATATATAGTATTCACGTTAAAAAAGTACCTATTTACACAATATTTGTATGTCGATATTGTTATGAGGTAACTGGATAAAACTTGTGACAAACATAATTACATTAATAATTTTATATTGTTATATTATCCAATAGACATAATGGCTAATTGTAGTAAACTTATTTGTAGAGATTTTAAATATTTCGTGTATTTGTTCCTTTCTATAATTATTTTAAATGATTTTGTTAATTACTGTTATCGTAATTATTTAAAATTACAAAATATTAATAAACATTTAAATGTATGTTCACGAACATAAAGTACTTAATACAAGAAGAATCAATAAAATCTGGGATGTATATTGTTATAGAAATCAGTAGGAGCTGACTGGAATGCAATTTTTATATTATTGTTCAATACCGTTGACTTTATTAAATTTCATAAAAGTGTATGATCAGCTCTTTTTATCCGAATTTTTTTTTCAATATTTAATAATTTTCAGCTTATTACAATTATTAGTATTAAATCTAAGGGCTTTATAAATTTTGTTTAGCACCTATAGAACAGTGAAATGAAGAAAAGTAAATGAAAGTCGATTTTTAGTTCACTAATCAAAGATATGAGAAGATAGGTATTAATTTCTTCAAGTAGGCGCCAAGTTAGGTGGACCGGGAATGTCGCAAGGACGCAGGCGCTCTCTGCGAGCGCGGGAAACTGCGCGTATCGACCGCTACCCGCGTCCCCCACTGCGTCTAGACGCACCCGCGACTCTGCTCTTCCGGAACCTTCGTCTATCGCGACCTTGAACGCCTCAACCTTCCTTAATGTCAGATTGCGCAACCTTTACACTTGTAGGATCATCCTGGCGTATTGACAAGTTTAATTGAAACAGGTACTTGCATGACCGATTCTAAGCTGGCGAGGGTTCAGGTCAGAACTGAGGTCAGATAGTACGTCGACCGCGACGCCTCGAACTCTTGACCTTGATGCATCCTTTGCCCGCGGGTTAAGTTTCGCGCCGACGATATGCGTATGTACTGGGATCATATCCGCTATGTAGTATGTAATGAGCAGCCCAAACATGATTAATAATAATTAAAATAAAATATTAATTAACGATCATTCTATTCATAAGTACATTCGTTTTTAGCTCCAGCCTAATGTAATATGTATTGTATTGTTTACGGCCGACCTTTAAAGGATGACACTTTATGTAGTACAATGCAAGTACAATGTTACGTAATTATTTATAGCGGCAACTTAGTTATCGTCGATAACAGTGGGTAAGGTCGCGATGGGCATGTGTTCGAACGATTGTAGTTTATATACAGTTCAACTTGTTGCGCATTCTCTACAAGTAATATAAAAATATATCGATATATCTTCTATCACGTTACTGAATTGTTTAAATAAAAAAAAAAGTTTCACTATTGTCCCGCAAATCTCAGCCCCGTTATTCGTGTAATACAGCGGATTGAAATGGAATCTCATTGAAGTATAGCTCACTTGGCTCGCTAGACCGGTTTGATACACGGTGCTCCCATGTCTAGCCCGACCGGATGACAATTTGATAGACAGCGTCTCAATAATCGTGATTGAGAACCAGTCAACTCGAAATTTAACGAACTGTTGATCGTATCGACGCGGATAAATGTCATTAAAAAGTTGTTCCACATATATGAAAGTTTTATCGAAATTTATTAGATTATCGTACTGTATAATGCACATCACTAAAAGTTCTCGAACGCGCCAAAAATTTATTGCGCGCACGCCAATACATACGCGCATTTATCGCTACGTATTACTATACACACAGATACGGCGTGAATGACTAAAGTTGTAATTTTTCGCGCTATATTACTTAGTAACAGTAATATTAATTTTTTTTATCATCTAAATTTATATTATAATATTTACACGGCAAAGTACTAAAATACCTATTAGTGACTTTAATGAAATCATATTACGCAGTCGTGTCACTATGTGATAAGATTTTCCCATCGTAGCCGTATACTAAAGTAAATTAGATTACAAATTAAGATATCATTCGTAATTTACATAATTTACAATATCGTGTTACTAGTAAGTTATTAGTCAATCCAATGTCATTTAAAAAATAAATTGAAATATTAATTTTAATATATTAATCAGTACTAAACATAATATTTAGTATAATTAAAAACAAAAAAAAAATATGTACAAAGTATTGTATTTTTCAGTAGAATAGTGATAAAAATAATAAAGTAATTACTAAATAAGATATTAATAACGTACGGCCAAAGATATCGATTTGAGGCTCAAAAGCTTTGAAATCAGTTAGGTAATTATCAAACACTACGATAACGTTGATAGGTGAGTTTAGATTGGTAGGTACATACGTTATCTCGACAGGTTGCCACGTCGCGAACGTGATGTATGGTGTAAATCTTGGCCATCTAAAACTAGGGCAATAGTTTAACTTTGACTCGCAATTTCCTATTAGTGCATTATAGGGCGCTTAAATCCGGTTGGCCGCTTGTCCTAAACCTGTCCAGTGAGCCAAGGCTGCGAACGTATTCAAGAACAGCTCGCAACAATTTTAATCCTTACGCTAGCGTAAATAAAGTTCCACCCTTTCGTTCCATTGGCGATCGTCCGCTCCAATTTCTGAATACCAAGTTTTTTCGCGTCATTGATTGACGTGACTTATGTGGCTTTTAATATTAATAACTAACAATCAATGTAATGTTTGATAATTCGCATCGAGTAAAATAGCGATCTGCTATGCCCTTACGCCATTTACGCGACCTACTTTTGCGTAAAATTAATTTTTATAGCACTTAACAACTTGTCAGTTTAACAGCGCGACAAGTTAGTGATATAAACGCAAATACTATATTATTTTGTAATGTTTTACAAATTCCAATTTTAAATACTATTTATTTACAAATTTTGAAAAATAAATAATTTTATAAATATCCTCTCACTAGTTCGCGTTATCTTAAGGTCTAGAACACACGAAATGAATGTATATTTTGACCCTATTATTGAACAAAATTGTTTGGAAACTAAATGCTATTCGTCTATGTAGGCCTTTATACTTGTAGTACCGTACCTTTTATCAGTTGTTAGTATGAACAACAAAAATCGCCATGTGCCGTAGTAAACGCGATTTGCGCGGTACTCGATACTTGATGGTGACCTGAATATGGCGGTCGTCGAATTAGCCCAGCCTAGCCTACATTTAAGCGTCTTAAAATCATTTTAGTTAACATTTGTAGTATGCGATCTGCCGATCTCGCTGGCAACTTTAAATTAGGCTTAAGTACAAACATTATAAATTATTTGTTCAGAACAATATTAAAGAAATTCGTTTTGTTGCAACATGTAAGCATTAAATCTACTTTTCTCACGGTGCGTATCGAATAATTAAATTAAATAATCGAAAAGAATTTCTGATTCGCTTACAGTGAACGCACCCCGGTATTGGTTAGTTTATTTTAGGTACATAGTTTCAGTAACATGCACTTTTAATTATATTATTAGCGAGTTTTATAATGAATTGAAAAAGATCATTTACTGCGTTACCTCCACATTAAATGCGTAGTGACGCGATCTGTAACAACTGAACGAGTAACCTAGTGACACCTATTTATTTGATAATAATCAGTATTCACATATTTTTTATCGAATAGATATCTGTGGCTTGTCACACACATCATTGATATTGTAAAAAGATAGAACGTAATTGAGAGTAGTGGAAATGGCCTTGGTGTTATCGCTTAACAGTAGAAATATGCATTAGATATTTAAACAATCGGCGGCACTGCGCAGCTTCGACTAGCAATTGGTGACGGTGAATGAAAAACAGTAATCGATTCGTTTTTAAATCGATTAAATTCTGATAGCCATTTTAAACTCTTTCTTATTACAACTCTCTAATATATTATAAATTAGAATTCGGAATTTAAAATAAAATTATATTTTTGCGTTCTAATTTAATACGAAGAGATATGACAACTACAATCGTCTAGTTACGGTTGGTTCGCTCGCTCGCATGCTCATAGTCTGCCGCGTGTTCGTCAAATATCAATTCCAAGAGATAACATTAAATACAACGTGATAGCCTAATATAAATTTGTACAGTCTTATCAGTAAAAATACCAAGTGGCGAATAATAATTTGCTGGCATCGCAACAAGATAACCGACATTATTCCTTGATCTCTCCAATCATTCGGGCATTCGGGTCGGATTCGGGACTGTCGAATTTAATTGAATGATAACTTATGGCTGTCCGAGTTAACATTGGTAGTTTCCATTGCATAAATAAAAAAAAAAGGTATAGTGATGTGCTTACCGGTTTTCGTATGTCACTTTTATGGGCGTGTCGACGCACTAATATCTAGTTAAATATGTATATTAGGCAATGACGCAATAATATATTGATCCGGGTATGTGATCAAGAATTCGTGAAATAAAGATCACAATTTATAGAAGTCGAACTCGTCATAGGGCTGACAATTTTTCCCGGGTATTTCTTTTTTTTTTTGTTATTTAAGTATACAATTATTAATTATTACAATCGCGCTTTTTTTACACAGTATAGTATATTTCATCACATTTTTTAATAAAGTACCTATCTCGTGATTTAAAAAAATAATGCTAACTAATATCAAAACTAAGAAAAGTACCAATCCCTTTACAGTTGTATACGCCCATAAATAATGTCCGAACTTCTACTTTATTAATGAGTAATAAAAAAAATATTGCGTCACGTTACCATTATAGCATGACTAGTATGTGAGCGTCCATGAACTTCCGCGCGTACTCGACCAAGGTCGTTTTTGGTGCGATCGACAGCCATCACACCCCGCCTATACATATGTCTATTTTAAAATCCCCGCGAATCTCGAGAGCTTCCCAAGACCAGATGACCGGCTTTCCGATGTTGTGTAACAATTCAGAAATAACGGCCGATACTATATTTCGATTCCCAAGTTCTGATCGCGGCTGTGTGCGTGACTAATAATTTAAGTATTCCAATACGAATCCATAGACAAACTTGTCTAAATCCAACGCCTACGTTTGTAAAAAGTACGTTATCCATTTGTACTCGGTAATTCACGGTCTTCCTACGCCATCTGTTTGTAATCTAATAAAAAATATTGTTACGTATCCGGAATTCCGCGAAATGGTACGTTTTATCATAGATATAAAAAAGTATAATTAAATTATGTAAAGACTGAGCGATTTTCGTGCAGTTCCTTGGGATAATAAGTATAAACGTTATAAACGCCTTGTATGTAGAACTGGCGGGATTTTAACTAATTAAGATAGTCTATATTCATAAGTATATACGGGTTGAGTTTAAGAGAATTTCAACAAAAGTTTTGATTAAATATTGCACTGTCACGAGTTGAAAGTCCCGAAACAATATTGTATCTTGTTAATTTGAAAAAATATCTCCATATATAAAATTAATACCTCTTTTAATTTTAATGTTTTTTTGCAATCTAAATATACTACTAAAAACTCTTCCTTTTTCAATTTTTTTCTAACTAAATTATTTTATCCTCACTGAATCGATTGCAAATGAATAACGGAACGATTTCTACCCATACTACGAATAACTAGTTAATAAGCTTTTTTTCTTGGTCAGTTAGAGTTGTTGATCACCCTGTATGCAATGGCGTGCGCCGCGTGCGCGTCACGATAATTTTTAATTATCGCGTTCAAATGCCAGTGAACTTGGCTTCGAAGCCGTAACCAGCCAGCCGTGCCGCCTTCTACCAGGTCACACTTGACGACACCATTGTAGCCGTTCCATTTTCAAATCAAACTCTTTTATTTATATTTTTTTTTGACACCTGCCGTTTGTTGAAGCGGGAAAATCGTGGCGCTTAAAAAACATTGTACTTGTCTATGGTTTTATTGTGAAATGGAATGTTGTATAAAGCCAATAAAGAATAAGCATTCCATTCATAGAGAAAATTTGTCTGCAATTTATTGCAAATCAATTAATCTTGAAACATTATGGAATCTAAAAACTAGTACTTAGAATTCATGACTTCTAACGTTTATTTGAGATGCAAATAAGGTTGTTTACTAAGTCTAGACGATACTTATTGCCTGAAAAGACAACGTTTTACATTAATGCAAAATCCTATCGATCCGTGTCGGAAAATACGCTGTTTCGAGAAACTGGCCGGTGAGAGCCGATTTTTCTCATGAGATATGGCGGCATCGACAATAAAAAGCGGATTATCTGTGGTATGGTTTAAAATTGGAACAGCGGATCTAAGAATCGCATAGCTACAGCTATGGCGATATAATAGATATGCACTAGACCGGAGACCGGCGGCGCACCGCGACAATACCGTATCGCTTACATCCAGAGCTGAAACAAATACTCTAGTGACTGTTAGTTAATCGCGTTGGCGCCGGGGAGAAAATCGTCGCATGGAAATCGACTCCAGCTCACTTTTTATTCTTTAGGGTTGTGCTAAGATAGTTCTAAAAATAATCCTATATTCTCTAAGTTTAGATGTTAATTTTTTTTTTTACTTTTTATAAAAATTTATTTCGGACAGCCCTACAGACACATTTAAATGTAAAAGAGGCGTGTGCGATGACAAGCGTCGAACCTAGAATTAGATCGACGCACAACCACGATAAACGACTGCGTAACTATGCGGAAATCGAGTACAAGATCGCGTTGGCGTATAAATTTATCGTCGCTTTAGTAGATAATGTATCCAATGCATAGTTTTTTTTTCTTTTATTTGCGTAGTTGCGAAATTTATATCGTCCGCGTCCCTGAATCGGTCGTACAGTTTTATCGTTCACCTGAAATCTGAATATTACCAGTTTCTATTTCGAACACAAACCACCGAGATGTTTTAAGAAATCCTCGTCCTTGCCTCGATACGTAAATAGCGTTCGGTGTACAGCGAGCCGGTAACCTTTAATCACAATGAACCGCTGACATAATTATTTGTTAGTGTAACCGGATAGTGCAACCGATTCCGCGAAACATGCACTACGGCGCAAATGGCGCGCGGCCGCCGTCCACATCCGCACTGGTAATACTTGCAATTCGATCGCGAACTCGACGCTACATAACTCATTCATAGAAATGTTCACATTATCCCCTCAGCATTCGGAACGCTGTGTTGTAAAACCTAGCAGAATCTAGGACATGTATCCACACCACGCTCGTATTAAGTGAAACTGTTATTTTAGCTAATACCCTAAACCTGTACATTTGGGAACCCCGTGCTCATTATAGCCTCGGTTCTAGAAAAAGCAGGGATATTATAATATGATAGACGCCCGTGTTGAGGCAGTCACGTTTGACGCCATGCAACTCCGTACGTCTCTCACATTTCTTCAAGCTTAATTCAATTAGTAACAGAATTGACCGATAGTGCTGCTACGTTAAAATTAATACGGCTACGGACAGCCATCGCGTTGCATCGACATCATTGCTAATGTACTTGTAGCGTAACTACGGTAGTCGCGTGACAGTTAATTTCGAATCGTCGCTTTAATAAATGCCTGCAGCGAAGGCCGGAAAGCGTGTCCACCGGTTGATAATCCGGCAGCCATTGAGTGCGGACGCTGCGCTGCGGCAGCAAATCGCGCACGCGCTCTCGTTTTGGCGCGAATGGCGCGCCGTGACGTCAGGCGTCTGGATCGATGGCAGCAGACGCTGCGGTAGTACGATGGGGTCGTCGCCCTCCCCCTTCGGTATACCGCCCACCCCATCCCGCGCACCTGACTACTGCAGTCGCATCTCGCCTTCCCCTCCCCAACTAGATCTAGTTCCGTAGTTGTATATTAGATGCGGCATGACAATCGACGCCCGCCTTTTATGGTGATGCGAACGTAATGAGCGTTATGAATGAAAGTATGCTAGGAATGAAACTGTAAATGCGGGCTGGTTTCGATAAACTCTGGTATTTTACGTTTTCACCTATACTACTAATAGGACAATGTGCTAAATGCATTCTCTGTTGTTTCAGATGAGGAAATAGATGTGGTTGGATTAACGCAGCAGCCGATGGCTGCTGCCTCACATATGCGCACCGATTCATTGCCACGCGCACCATCCGCCCACGAAAGGCAAGTGTTCCAACGTACAGTGGCGAGTGCGATCACACCTCGTTCTCCCCGACCGGTCGCAAGGAAACGTCTTGTACCACCAACCAGTATAACGTCAGCGTCAGGCACACGTAGGCGCACGCGCGGTCCCGGTCGACGCGGACGTCGTTCCAACACGGACACCGATTCGGAGGGAGAAACACCAGAGATTGAACGCCGTTCAATACACAACGACATGGAACGCCTACGACGCATCGGCCTCAAAAATCTCTTTGATGAGCTGAAGAAACAGATTCCAGCAACTAGAGACAAGGAGCGTGCTCCCAAAGTGGTAATATTACGCGAGGCCGCCGCCCTGTGTCGCAAACTTCGGGACGAAGAGGTACAAAGAGAAATCCTCAAGAAGCAGCAGACCAAATTAATGACGAAGTTGAAAAAGCTTCGTGTGTTAACGGCTCGCTATCGTCCGTATTGAGCAGCACGATTCATGTTATGCGAGCATCGCTTCGTTCCGTATCAGGAATCCTCGGGTCAACTCAACGTGACACTTATGCATGATAGTTCGAACGTAAGTTGCTTCTGGACGTTCTAGTGTATGTCTTTTAATTTCTCTTGTAATTAGGCCATAAAGACCAATTCCCGTTTTTCTATTTTCGTGGTTAATAAAAATTAGAGTGGAGCCTATATGTTGTTGGGAGTTTGTTATATTTCGATATAAAGTCAGCTTTTACGGCTTACTCTGCTTCTGTGGGAATGTACCGAGGATAATATAGGTATAAATGTTGTAGCAATAACCGCGGGTTTAATTTGCTCAAAAGATATTTTGCAGTGCCAAAGTGAGCCATAAAGCTGTTGTTAACAATAATCCTAGGTCTTCAGCAAACGTCTTAATAGTTACAGACTGCTTCGTGAACTAGTAGACTGGTTTTATACCTCTAAAATGTTTTTTGAATTATCAATAAAGTATACAAATAGTTGACAGCGCATTACAGATTTACTCCGTGTTGACACATCGTAAAAGATATGAAATTTGTTGTAGTATTGTTTCGAAACGGTAAAACATTTTTACTGGACCCGTCTAATATTAATAGTTATTGTATAATAGTGTCACGTACCTAATTATTAGTGAGGTGTGTTGTTAGTCAGAGTTATTATTTAAAAAATACCATGCTCATAGATATGTGTTCTTACTTGTCGTTATAACGATAAACTTTTTAAAATTTGATATCGTACCAAAAAAAAAAAAAAAATTGTTACCGACGCTACTTGAATTTTAATTTGTATTGTGCCTACATGTCGGAGCTGAGTTTCACATTTCTTAACGGTAATTTAAATGAAAGATTTAATTATATAAAAAAGTATATATGTTATTATATTTTTATCAATTCGTATCTTAGATCTGTGTATTTTTTAAATAAGCCTGTAAATATATGAACTGGTTAGTGAAATTGACCGTTCACCGTTTTGATATCGTTGGGAAGCTTTTCAGCTGTTCGGCCAAGTATATGTTTTAGGCCCGGTACAAGTTTTGACGCATTTTGTATAATGTGAACGCGATGGAAGTAGTGATGTCAATGTCGGAACATTATGATATTATTATAAGTTTAAATAAACGACTTCAAAGTAGACTTTGTACATCATAGGTTAGCTCGCTTACAGTTTTATAGTGTTTTGTTATTTGTAAATTTTAACACTTTTTAATGTTTTTTTTTTTACACTTTAGTGGCGCGATTAACTTTTTTCACTATTTTTAACATTGAAATTGTTAGATACATTGGACCACTTTACATTTACACTATGTATAGCTTATATTGCGTATGTACGAATCTATAGCACTGACATAAATAAAGTATGCATTTATCAGATAATCGTTCAAGCATTATATATAATCTATCTATCTATCCTATTTAAGAGCTGCGCTCTTGTCGGTGGAGCTCTTGCCACTCACTACGATTTTCAGCGAGTCTCTTCACCTCTTGATACGACACGACACCAACTCCTTCCTTGATCTGGCTGATGTAACTGTCTTGGTCTCCCCCTTCCTCTCTTTCCTTTTGTCTTACCTTATAATGTTCATAAGTTCGTCATGTCGTATCAAGTGTCTCAACATTTTTATATTATATGTAACTAAAATTCATAATTAATTTTATCACGTTACTTTAGTATGTAGAACCGAATTGACAACGGTGTACCTCGTATTGAATGAATTTACGCATTTGTGTGATGTTTTAAAAAATTAGAAACAAAAATGGTAAAAACACCAATACGCCATGGTTGGAAATTGCTCGCAGTAATGTTGGCCCTTAAGACCTAGTGCCGTGGTCGTTCATAACAAATTATGTATTTATTTTCAACCAGAAAATGGCGTTTTGGTATTTCGTACTATTCCAGTAACTGCGATGTAATTGCACATTATGAGTTTTGTACTTATTATGTGTAATACAATTTTTTTTTATACGGACACCGAAATATTCGTGTCTACATACTAATAAAAGATCGTACATGCATATATGTTTATTCAGAAATCTAATTACATTGTTAAAATGTATAAACTATATTATTCGCTCATTTAATATTAATGGAAGTATTCTATTATTAAAACAAATTTATTTTAAAGTAGCCCCATATAAATTTGTTTCAGATGACATGCAATGCATACCGTTGTATAATCTCAATGACATTAGTCTGATTTATAATGAAATAGACTGTGTATTTTGATAATAACATCAAAATCTATAACGTCAGTTCAGTCCAAAATGGACTGCAAAGTTAATTAAAAAAAAAAAAAAAATAACCAAGTCATAGTTCCTCATTGTACCTATTAATAGTAAATTTTGCATTTTTCTTTATTATATTTTATTGCAGTAAGATAGTGATGTATTTGATAGTTGCGGTGGATTGAAAGTGGACAGAAAAATAAATTAATAGGCAACGCATATAATAAATACGCTGAAATAAAAAACGAGAATTAAATTGTACAAACATTATATTTATACAGTTAATTTTTTTTTAATCAGGCACAGATGCGAAATCGTACGATGTTATTTTTCTGTCCAGTTTTGTACATAGAAATTGATGTTTTATCAAGCACATGGTCAAACAGTTTTCTATGATCGAAGGCTTTACTTGTGTGCGGAATGTGCCTTGCTATGTAAATATAGATAATTAGATTTATACTCGAATTAGTTGCAAGACATATTTTTTGTGAAGAAATATTATGTAGGAGTAAATAGTTTGTTAGAGTAGTGGTTACGACCAATTCTAGTAAACGTTTTTAATAAAGATGTCGGATTTATCTTCCACTAGTTATAAAATGTACATAATAGCAAATAGATAACATACATGTATGTCTTTTTTTTTTTTTAAATTGCTTTTCTTGTTTATTGGATAGTTTTTTTTTTTTTTTGTAATTGGAGAGTCACGAATTCTCGAATGTTGTACCTGCATTTATTATTTTTTTTTTTGTTAATCTTGACATAAATAATAAATCTAACATCCTAATTAATAGATTAGTTAGCTCAAAGTCGTATCAAGCTTTGATTATTGGTATCCAATGCACTAAGCGTTTCATAGGACGAAATGACAGCTTTATATTTAATATAGGCAGAACGAGTTAGCAGACAATGTTGACAAGGCACATTTCCACCATTGCCCAAAAAGAAATGGTTAAATTTTTTTACATAGCAAGTGTATATTTTATAAAATAGGGGAGTAAGTCATGTTATAGTTGGTTTTATGTGTACTTTTTCTTTAATGGTATCCGATAGTAACATCTATCCGCCCGGTCAGTGGGACCAATCGATTCGCATGTTTGTTTTGAGCCGTTCGATTGGTTGTTTGTATGGTAATTAGTGAAGTGTGGGGCGGCGGCTCCGCTACAGAGAATGCACGGCGCAAAGAAATTCCGCCTAAACACTACCGTTGCACTTTGCAATCTTTGAAGCGGCGCTCAACTGTAGGTATATAGTACTTATAGCCATCTCATTTTGGATACTAGAAATTATTGTGAAAAGTTTTTTTTTTGGTTTTTTGTTCCTTAATTATGTGTATGGAAATTTTAAGGTAATATTAAATATGTAATAAATAACGGCCGCGCCGAAGCAGAGCTGAGTGGCTTGTGATTGTGATTTTTATACTTATGGTGTAATATGGGTGGTTAATTATTAAATTGTTTAGATACTGTGATTTATGTACCTGTGCGGTGCAGTGGGTGTGAAGTTGCGACGCTCTGCTTAGGACGGCTAATAAAAAAAAAATATTGACTCTTTCATTTCTTTAAACCTTAATATATATCCTAATTGCAAATTTCAAATTAATTTATTATTAAGAACTATTTTAATTGATATTAAATATCAGGTTTTATATTTACTGTGTTTTATTGTGGACAGTGGCAGTACGAAGTAAAATAAATTACATGCAATAGTTTTTTTTTTTTTTATACAACTTAGAATGGCAAACAAGCTGGACGGCCCACCTGATGGAAAGTGGTAACCGTCGCCTATAGACACGAGCAGTACCATGGACATAACAGAGTATACTGTTTCGCCCATTATAGCTCCCATGCGTTGCCATTCCTAAGGACTCAGGTGATATTCCTCTGTACCCAGTATATTCACGTCATATCCCACCCTTCAAACCGAAACACAGCCATGCAAACAACTGCTTCACGGTAGAAACAAGAATGGGACAGAGGTACCCAAGCAATCGACTTTTGTACAAAGTCTCCCTCTGGTATGACAAACACTTATTTCTATACTTATAAGATGGTGATGTAGACGATTCTTAACTTAAATAAAAAAAAATAACAACCTCTGACTTAGGATTTTAGGAAAGATTTATACAATTATTTGTAACTTGGGAATCTGACTGAGACTGATGGAAAATCGTAAGGGATGTCTATCGACGTAAACAGCATCATAGATGTCAAAAAAATAAAACATAAGTAGTTATTATCACAGTCTCGATTATTTTTACACTATGGTACTTTTTTCTTTTTTAATCGATGATACTGAAATGATAACCCCGTCTGCTTTATTGATATACACTGATGGGGCACCAGTGAGGGATGATATGTGCGGATAAAGCAGATCAGTTGGCCAATCGCGCCGAATTTTACATGAACTCACTACGATAGTTTCTAGGGGCAATCGTGTGTAGGTCGATCTGATAGGGTATATTGCTAGCAATGGGGTTGCTAATCCCCATTACTAATAAATCCTTTTTCCTCCTACGCTGTATTTTTTTTATAATGAGTCCTAATGAAATGGTTATACTGTCTGCGCTTACGGTATACACTGTCGGGGCACCAGTCAGGGATGATAGGTGAGATTGAAAAGACAGGTTAGTTAGCCCATCGTGATGAATACACCTGCAACTCAGCAAGATGGTTTCCAGAGGGAGCACGTGGACATAGACCTGAGACCAAAAGTTTTTGCTATGGATACCGGACATCTGTTGAACATTTAAAACAAAATATTTTCTTTTCCTTAAATATTAGCTATATCCTGCGGTTTTACCCGCGTGAATCAGTAAGTACAAGTAAGACAATCTACCCGTGTACCAACATACAAATCCATCTAGTAGATTTTGCGTGAAAAATCATTGTTACAAACTATCGCATATTATATAAGATTAGAATAGAAATTATTTATTGCCAGTTGCAACAATTACAACAGAATATATATATATATATATATATATATATATATATATATGTAAATATTTGTGCTGTATTCCTGGTATGGTAGGTAGGTGTAGGAAATAAACAATAATATGTCACATTGCGACTCACACGACCACCCACCCGGACGTCACCCAGAGGAGTGGCCTGGACCGGTAGGATTTTAGTCTAAATCTAATGACTATATATATATATATATATATATATATATATATAAAAGAAGTGTCGCATATTAGGCAAAAGGAACCGGCTCAGCTGATGCTGTGAGTGTTCCAGTGCAATGTGTACAGCTGCACAGCGCTGGATTTCAGTCGATCCTTCGTAACAAAAATACAAACGACTAATTTGCAATTGCCTGTTGTAGCACCCTATTTGATATATCAAATAAGGTATTACTTGCAGTTAATATAGCTTTCTATAGGTAAAAGAAATTTTAAAATGGATTGAATAATTTTTATACATATATATAATAAGATGTTTATTTATATTGACACTTTATTACACCATTTATAAAACATAATAAATACAGTTAATTTTAATAAGGAATGATACAAAAGGCGACCTTATCGCTAAGCAATCCCTTCCAGACGACCTTTGGACCGAGAACATTGAGAAAAAAGACAAAGAGGCCATCTACCCTTTGTCTACACTATTATATAGATAATAATATATATAAACGTACATTCAATAAAAAAAAAAGTAAGACAATTACACAATTAAATAATACATCAATCAATAAAGTTTACACAGATGAAGGAAACACGCAAAAAGAAACTCTATTATTGAAAATTAAAGATTAATTATTATATTAATTATCATATTGAATCTAAATAGCACTATATTATCAAGGTCATATAATACAAAATTTTATTTATTAATTGTAATAATTAAGATTGTGTTCCACAAAAAAAAAAAAAAAAAAAAAATCAATCGAGGCAAAATAAGTTTTTGATTTTAAAATTAAACTACTGTACTGACTTTAATAAAATCCCTGTAAATACATCCTTTCAGATAACAAAGAATTTTTAAAATCAGTTTAAAACTGGCAAACATAAAAATAAAACCTTTCTTTTTAAAGTCGGTTGAAGAAAACTAACAAGTTTAAAACGTTTGTATTGTTCGGGAATCGAACCGGTGATCATCGAAAGGTGAGATATTTAAACCGCTCCAAAAGATCGTCGATTTTTGATGTGCAAATAAGTAAAGGTTGTTATTATTTTAAGCCATAGCTGTAGATAAACCTCATTTTAATTAAATATATACTGAGGTACTCCAAGGCATCTACAATCACAATAAATGATGGAAATAAATTTTATAAATGTGCTTGAATTATCTCTAGTAATTAATCTTTACATTATTTAAATGAGAAAATTGTTCGAAGTGTTATAAATGATGGAATATATGCATTTTACTTGCATGTTTTTATGCAGTAAGTTAATAGTCACCTGATGGAAAGTAGTAACTGTCGTCTAGACATGAACAACACCGTGGACACTATAGAATATACTGTAATGACCAATAATGACCATGTTACCCTTTACGCGTTCCTATTCTAAAGGTCTATGATGCCTTCGTAGTCTTTAATTTCATTGCAATGCAAGTATATGCAAAAAAAAGCTAAGAGAATAAAAATTCTAATAATATTAGAATTTTCATTTATTTTTAAAAATAAATGGAAACTCTTTGTAACAGATATACAGACGAAAAGAAATTATTCAAACTTAGACAAAATTATTTATTTCAGCTCGTGACATATTTTCGCTTAATAAATCGCTTCATTTTATTTTATCACAATATTTTATGCAAAAAAAAAAATGTATGAGAACACTATTTATAATCTCGCAAACTTTTTTTAGTGTTTGGAAATTAGTTGAAACGTAAAGCATAACGTATATTCGTGTAACGAAACGCATAAACTGAACGTAGTTGTCAAGAACCAAAACAATAGTGAAGTTCGTGCGGATCGCCTGGATGATGGCTCTTCGAACAGTGATTTCTTCTAAAATTCCTATGGTGATAATATTAGGTGCTACAGGGACAGGAAAAACTAAGTTAAGTGTTGAATTAGCTCAGAAACTCGGAACCGAAATAATCAGCGCAGATTCTATGCAAGTAAGTTACCTAGTCATTTTCTAACCTAACCTAATAGTCACATTATTCTATGTTATTTCTTCTACTACTATCATATATCAGCTTTAGTTATACTATTTTTTTATTATTTTTGTATTATTATTCTACTTATTTCTTTTAATAATATTTTTAATAAGATTGGAACAAAAACAGGTGATACAAACATAACCTTAAAAATTATTTATAAATATATTTTTCCAAATGGAATCTGTTATTAATTGCTAATAAGATATTTCAAATCATCAAGTCTGAATATATCTTATACTTATAATTCCATATATATATATATATATATATATAAGAAATTCTTTTTTATCTGAAAGAATATATTATTGAATTGGCCCTATAGAAATTTCAGAAAATTGGTTCATTAGTTTTTAAATGCAAACAACTGGTTTTAGTACAATGAAGTGGTGTTTTTTTTTTAAAAAATAAATCTGTTTATGCTATTACAGACCAGCTGATACTTATGCATTTTCTAAATTAGATCATATTTTTTCTTGTAATTTATTTTAATTTGAAATTAAGATATATTATTTAGTCATTTAAGTACTTGTTTATATTTCTGATTATACATAAGAGAGTTATACATAATAGAAGGAAAGATAGAGGGCAAAAGAGGAAGAGGAAGACCGAGGATTAACTACACGGGACAGATAAAGGAAACACTAGGTGTCATGTCGTATAGGGAGATAAAGGATATGGCATGGGATAGAGCTGGCTGGAGGAAGATGCATGAATTAGTTGCACCGACAAGAGGAAACTCTTAAATGAAAAATGAAAATAAGAGAGTTATACAGAGTAACTCTTTATTTGTTTATTGATAGTATCTACATAATATGCTGTTTAAATTCTAATATGATTTTATTTTATTTGCCATATTGATATGATATTAATTTCTTACTTTTACATAATATGTACATATATTCTAATAAGTGTTCTATTTAGGATCAATCTCAAGGTGAACATAATACCTATTATAAAATAAAATTATTTTTTATTCGAGTAAAGAAACATCAGCTACTCAATTTTTTCTGAATGTCCTCAACCCAAAGGTGTTCTGGAAAAGATTGCTTAGCAATAAGGCCACATTAATATACTTAATTATAATAATTTTTGAGTGGTATTTTTTTATGAATCTATTGCCTAGTTCGGAATACAATTTTAGCTGAAAGAATGGAAAAAGTATTCAACTCTTGTTTTAAAAAAAAAAATACAATACAATAAGTTTACATATTATAAAATAAATGCAAATGGAAACGCTGACTATTTTTTTTTTTTGATGGGTGAAAATGGTATGGTATCTCCGCCTGCGCTAACGGGATACGCTGGTGGAGCACCAGTGAAGGGAGATAGATGAGAATGATAACAGGCCAGTTAGCCCATCATGATGAATTCATCAGGAATTAACCATGATAGTTTCCAGGGAGAACCGCGAGGAGGTCGACCTGGTTGGGTATATTGCTAGCAATAGGATTCTCAGTCTCCATTACTAACAGTCCCCCCCCCCCCCCAACACTGACTATTGCAAATGTCATATTTATAAATACAATGAATCCCAGTATTCTTGAACACATCAGTCCCTAGAATTCTTCATGAGTATGATAAATGAAAAAGTATAAAGGAATGTATAGTTTTACATCCTCATTTGAGTATAAGACGCTATTTATGAGAGACACTGTGACAGCATGTATTTTATTTGTAGTGATTGAATTTATACTGTAACAGTTATAGTGTGATGTGTAATTAGATTTACCATGTGGTCCCGGCATACTCAAGGTCACACATCTCACTGTAGGTGTAGTAAGAGTCGATTAAGGGCACTCAATGGATTAGGAATGATCAGCACCATCTTTCTAACTCCGTGAGGCCTGAGAAGAACCCAGGAAGGCCTTCTGCGCTTCTAGGCGGAGCTAGGTTGGCTGCACTAGCCACGACTCATACGCACAACGGCCCAAGTGAGAGGCTAAGCGCGGAAAATGGAGTCTTTTTCACATTTACATTCACATCTTTCTTAAAACAACACCAAAGCCTCTCATTGCCAATTCGCCTGCCAAGCGTGGCAACTACTGGTAAAATCCATGAGTGGGAGGCCTATGTTCAGCAGTGGACAGTTAAAAGCTGATATGACGATGATGAATCTTAAATTATATTCCACACTGTAATTTGGTGTCTCCCATTACCAGTTGCACACAATGTCTGTTTCATTTCCGCACAGTTCGCGATAAACAATTTTGATTAATTTTAATTGAATTCATCATGATAGGCCATCTTACCTGACTTCGTCCTTACCGTCCATTCGGCGGAAGGGGGGAAGGAATCGTTGGTAACGCATCTAAGAACCCCATTGCTAGCAATATACTTTATCAGTTCAACCTCCATGCTTGTTCCCACTGGAAACCATCGTGGTTAATTACTACTGATTTCGCCACTATGAGCCAATGACCTGATTTCGTCATCAATATTGTATAATTTGATCTTCATCTATTAAAGAAAAGTATGTTACGGGGGAAAGAGATTGTTAGTAATGGGTTCCAATAACCCCATTGCAAGTAATATATCCTATAAAGTCGACCTCCACGCGGTTTCCCCTGGAAACTATTGTGATTAATTCTTGTTCAATTCTTCACGATGGGCCAACTGACCTGCCTTCATTCTCACTATTCATCCCTCACTGGTGTCCAACAAGCGTACGATATACCGATAGCGCAGGCAGAGTTTACCGTTCCATTATCACCCATTAAAAAACTAGTATGCTATGTTATTTATATGTATACTTATTTAGTATTCCCATATTTAAATACTCGTAATAAAATAAGAAAAATAACATAAACAATTAAAATTGTTATTTGAAACTTTGTTGTAAATAGAAAAAATTGTGTGTATTAATTTGTACAATTATTAATTTTCCTTCCTTCCTTGTTAGTGGATATTAATAAGTCCTTTAAAAGGATCCCAGTTATTCCATCATTTATTTACAATTACATTAATTAGACTCAACCTATTGAAGCTCTGAGTTCGAAATAATCCTTAATAATGTTATAAATATGAAACTAGATTTGTTTTCCTCTTTTTTTTTTATTATCTTGAAACTTTGACTGTTGGTTGACTAGTCATACCATACCATATCAGCCGTTAACTGACTACTGCTAAACATAGCCTTGCCGGGGTCTAATTGATCCATTGCTAGTAATTTCAGGTCGACCTCCACGCGGTTCCCCCTGGAAACTGTCGTGGTTAATTCTAGTGGAATTCGTCACGATGGGCTAACTGACCTGCTTTCATTCTCACCTGTCATCCTTCACTGGTGCCCCGCCAGCGTATTCCGATAGCGCAGGCGGAGTTACCACTCCATTATCACCCATTAAAGAAAAAACATAGCCTTGCCTCTATTGGGGGCTTTTATCAATAGTTACTATGCTTGGCTGTTAGGTTTTCGTGATGTCTTAAAAGGGACGCTGCTGTATCTCTTCACCATTAACTACGCTTACTTCATGGTTCAATCATTTGTCTTGATGGAAATGTTTATAAATATTTTTACCCTGGGCAGGTCAATTATCAGTCTCGGTTTCACTTAGATTTTACCCGCGACTTCGTTCTATAATACGGACATTACGAAAATGTGATTTTTTATAAATAATAATACAATGTTTTATTTGTTCTGACAGAGGTTATCACTAGGTTTAAATTATATTAAACAAGCCATCAATAAAAAGCTAATTGAAAATTATAACATCAAATATGCAATTTCTCACAGCTTCTTTCGCATAGAAAACTTACTTTTTTTATTCCTGTGGGATTTTCTTAAATAAAAAAATCATCAAGTAAAAATATATTAACTTATCCGTAGATTGTTTGTTCGAAGCAATGCTCGGAGATCTCCATTCGTAGGCAACTTCACGTTTCGTTACGGTGCAGGAATTTCGCCAAATTGTTCGAGTTTGCATTATATAACCAGACAAGTGAGATGTAGCCTTCAGACAGGTCGCTGATACGACAGTACATTCGAGATCGAGAGATGTTATTCCTTTAATTATGCTAAATAAAAGGTTTGTACGTGCAATTATTATAACTCCATATTAAACATTATTTCTATCTTTACTTTTTAACAATGCCAAGGCCAATTATGTCTCATCATTTTAGTAATACTTTATCGGTTTACAAAATACGGTAAAGCAAATGTATAAAATTTATAGCCTAATTTTTATGTCATTGTTTATTTTTATGTTTTTTGTGCAATAAAGAGTTAAATAAATAAATAAATTTAAATTTTTATAAGTATTTATTATTTATGGTTTAAGTGTCATGAAGTTACTTCATGACACCATAAATAATAAATACTATAATAAATGAAATACTAATTACGACCCGCGACTTCGTGTAACATATTAAATTTAAAAGGTTATATTATATTTATAGGTTTAAAATATTAATTCATCAAATTAAAAAATAGTTTGTCTTTTTCCATGTACTATACTAATAAGTATAAAAAACGGGCGTTTGTTTACACAATAAGTATGACTAAAAAAGTTAGTCAAGTTTCCAAGTGTCTAATATGATAAATAAATATTGTAAATTTGTTGTTTGGAATGTCTAGATCGCATTCCTTTTACGGGAATGCAAGTATTTCGCTGTCTGTCCCAGTTTGTCTAGATGTTATATAATAGAAGAGTGGGATGGCCTAGCCATCGTACAAGACCATTCCCATAGTATATTCAATATTTGGAGATGCTTTACAATTAAACATTTTTGTTTATCGAAACCATTATGGAAACTTAATATACAGTTTTATGTATGTAACAATACATTTTTGTATGTAGTATGATTTTTTTTTCTATTTACCAGAAGGAAACGTAGAAAAGCCATTTGTATGGATACCTCTATCCCACACGTGTTTTTATCATCAAGCTTACTTGCATGACAATTTAGAGGATGGAATATGAAAGTGAAGTTACAGAATACTATGGTTATTTAAATGTCCA